TCAGAAGCGATTACTGTGTAATTAAACCTTATTTCTGGACTCTCCAGTGCATAATTACTTTGTGAATGTAACTATCATCTAAAAGCTACCAAAATGCTTTAGCATTTAGTCTAGCAGTCATTTCCTGGGCTTGTGTCAGATATAGCCATCAGACAGTGCAAAGGAACTGTCACTTTTAATAAGAGGCAAAAAATTAAATGAAACAGTATGCTTATTACAGAAAAATTAGGCTTTCAAGTGGTAGAGTCCTTTCTGTTATTTGCATAATTTATTCTTTTTTTCTCTTGCCGCAAGCTTTAGGCAATTTTCCTCACATTTAAATAGATCGCACATTTAAGGCTACTTAAGGAAAATTATCACTTTGCATATTTTAATTGTTGTGAAGAAAGTGAATAGAAAAAGGTTCGTGGCTCAGACTCTCAAGCCGGTCAGACGCATAACTGTCTGATTCTGCGGCTCATCGCTGCACCACGAGAGATAACCCCCGAGTTCACAGCCATCCACTTGAATTTCATCAGAATGCAAATGGAGCTCCAAGCGCTGGAACAAGTGGATCTTTGATATTTACAAAATAGCCACTAATAACTTGAATGTAATTTGTTTGACATAACTTTAGTTTCCCTTATCTGCATTATTATTTTTTTCCCCCACCAAAACTTTCCACCGCCTGCACAAATACAATGCATTTCTAAAAAAGGATCAAAACGTATATATACCCTAACTAGCTGTGTGCAAGACAGTATCACAATCTAGTATGTTAAAAATCTAAATTATGCTTCAAAGAAAAAAAAGACAATTAGAATATATTGAAAGAATGCAATAAATAAAGCTTTATTTGCTAGCTTTTTGTGGTATTTGTAATTGCTGTTATACATTCAGAAAAACTAGATTTATGGGTAGATATCAATGCCATACTATGCTTAATACCATGATACCAAAACCACTTATCCCACTTTAAATATTTCATTTATTTCATTACAAATATAATACGTTTAGAAAACCAAAGGACTTAAGTTCTTAGAACTTAACCTACTGAATAGTTCAAAATGTGTTGACGTGCACATCACCCTGACATGCCCTCCAGAAATGGTAAGGCTGCGTTTTTGCTGACTAACAGATATTGCATCAGATCAGCATAGATGACCAAGGAGAAACACTGGTGAGAAACTCGTAGCCAACATGATATGGATTGCCTTTCAGAAAAGGTTTGCCATTAAGAACTGAATGATTACTCGCACTCTACTCAAATCTACTGTAAAGCATATGCTCATTTTGTACTTGCTTTTGGAAAGGCAGGTCTACAATGAGATCAGAACTGATCCCACATCCACAGCATACTGTCCACATTTGTAAAAGTAACACTCTGATATTCAAAGGTTCACTTACTTTCAAGATTAGTACACAGTAGAGAAAATGTTCAATCTTGTTGAGAACGATCTCTTAGTGTCGGAATGTTTTGTTCAGCCTGGAACACATGAATTACAAAACAACAATTGCCAGGAAGCGATAACTGGATACGCAGATTCTTCCCTTGGTGCTTCAGAGCTCAAATATAATCCCCATGTAACTCAAAGGGAACCACTTTTGGTAAAACCTGTGATGACCAATGGAGGAAATCCTGAGTGGTGAGGTAAAAACAGTTTTTTGTGGAATTGGAATGATTGTTTTTAATGTTAAAAAAAATAGAATATATTTGCATAATTTATATCAAAGAGTGGGGTGTTCTGATTCTGGCTTTGGACTATTGTGCATTGTACAGTGTTAGTAGGACGCTATGATCGCAAATGTCATATGAAAAATTGGAGAAGAATAATATTGTGATGGAGTGAACTGCAGCAGGTTCATTAAGCTGAACTAATTACACTAAATTTGCATTTAAAGAAAAAGCCTAGCCAATTTTTTCTTATTTTAAAATTCCGTTATGATAAAGTCCAAAATATCTAATGTACATACAGCAACATACACTACTACAATACATAACATTTTACACATTTTTTGTATAAAATGTTGTATAATAAGCTTTATCCCAATACCTAATTATAGGAAGAATACAGTATATATAATTTACAATGCTCCGTAAAATATAAATTTTAAGGAAAAGCTATCAGTCAAGACTTAAGCAATACTTTTAAAAGGTCTTGACAGTTACTGTATCTGTTTTGGATTGGTCATAGACTAGAATACAATGCAAGGATGCAGAGCATGTGCAGTCAATTATATTACTGAGAAGCACATAGAATGTTGAAAATAGGAAATGTTGGTGATCCTTTCTGCTAGTTTTACTAGGACAACAGCAGTCATGATTTATGTCGTTTACAAGATCATATAAATTACCACAGAGTACACAGTATGAGCTGATATTGTCACATAAACCTAAAATATATTATTCTACAACTTTTATCTTCAGGTTTAAAAAGACAATGGATTTTACAGTGTTGGTATTGTAAATTGGTGCCATCTATAATTACATCTCCTGATCATCTACACATTGAATTAATAAAAAACATTCTCAATTCTTTTTTCCAATGTTATGAAAGACCTGAAAAGTGATTTAGACAAGCAAGAGTATGCAAGATGTACTGATGGACAATTAAATAGCTTACATTTGGGATCAGTAGCTCACTGGGCACATACGCGATACTACACTGGGTACTACACTCGATACTGCAAATAATGAGCAGAGAGTTTTATTGATATTCCGACCAGTATTGTTCCTTGGGATAAAAAAAATACCAAGTTGTGATTTCATAGAGATATAAGGTATTCAGTATTTGAAAATTGTGGTAAAGGTGACAAAATATATTTTAATTACGATATGTGTGAACAGTCATTCAAAATATTAGATTTTATTTAATGTAAAACCAGTGAACAGATATGACCATGCCCACATTGTTTAATGAAGATTGCCCGGTTGCAGCAGAGCAATCCAGAGAAAACAGGAAAAAAAAATGATATTTTTTAGGGACAGGCTATGTTCTTGAAGGCAGAGTGCCACCACGCTGTCCCAGGACTGTCACATCTATCTGCATAATCACTTGCAGTGGCTACAGCATGAGGAACTCCAGGAAGAAATAACTCTTGCATCAGCAAAAAGACTATAGCTTGTTGTCTGCATGAAAAGCATCTTTGTGCTTGCAGGCCATTCAGGGGTAATGTTGACAGCTTAGATAAGAATTTGCACCTTTGTCTGAGCTAGAAAACACCTGAGGTGGCACAGAGAGTAGTGGTCTGTTCTATCCTCCGATTAATGCCATTTTGCCCTAGACAGGTCTGGTGGAAGACAATAAGAAGAGACATGTGGATTATAATGGCACAACCAAGAAAACAAAGTCAATGTTTTGTTGTGGCCAGCCTCGTCTCCTCCGCCAAGTCCAGTAAAAAGTGGGGAAACCAACTCACTAATGACACCAACGGAACAGAACTGCAATGGACCAACCTTCAACTATTAGAATAGTGTTAATGCCAAGGGAGGTCATAGTAACTTTATGTTTTTTTTTTTATTTTCACAGTGTGTCACGGCTTGTGCTTCAAAACATATCATGATTCTTTGATCTGTTTTTGTTCACCTGTTCTGTGATCTGGTTTGATATCTCTGTTTTAAAATATTTCATTAATTCTATTAGCCCTGAGTGCTGTACTACTTTTGTGCAGCAGTATAGTTTAGTGTTGGCGTGGCAACTGTGAGTCATGCAGCAGAAGGGACACTGTAGACACCAGCTACTCAGCAGCAAATCATTAATTAATTGCATTTTAATGAACCCTAAAGCAGACACTGCAAGAGCATTTGGGAGTTTACAAGTAATGAGTATATGCCTCATTTTTAGACTGACAGATTGACAGACAGGATAATAAAATTACTTTAAAGCCTAACTTCATTCTTTTTATATTTATAAATTTAACAAATGCTCAACACAAAAAACACGCCTTTTCAAAGTCAGCATATATAGCTGTACATAATGATCATACATCTTAAAAATACATAAAATATGGATTTGTTTTAAATTCAGAATGTTTATTTGAGGTATGCTTGTTCGTCACTTCCTCCATTTTAGTAGCATAGCCATATACAACAAATTGTAACAGATAAAACTGGTAATAAAAATAACAATATTTCACAATTTCTTTAAATGGTTACTGCTCATAGTAGGTTTTTATTTTTGAAAATCCACCCATGTTCATTCCCTGTGGTAACAATCATCATTGAAAGAAATATCCAATGAAAACACGTTAGCACTGGTTTCCTTTTAAAACATTACAGTGCATACACCCAAGAAAATGAGATGCAACAAATTACAAATGAAACTGCAACGAGGACAAAATGCATTGCAACTTTTTCAGATCTCAAAGTTAATTGTACAGCAGCTTCCTACGCACATACGATCAACCATATAATGATACCATCAAAAAAAACCTAAGCAGAAATGTCTCATTTACATTAATAATGCTCACAAATTATGTGAATTCATTATGCGAGTGATGGATAATTTAAGCTTTCATCATTTGATGCTTGTCATTTTTTTCAGAGAGAAATGGATTGTTACATTTTTAATGAGTGCAATAATAACACATTTAGTTTCAGCAAATGCAAAATAATGTACAACAAAAATGATTTTCATAATTGCAAATACACAGCCAAGGAGATAAAAAAGAGAAATAGGAGAGACAGAAACTTCAGTTTGTATTGTGCATTGTATAGGTCTCTTACTCAAATAATTAAGATATATTTAGTTTTTATGGGCCTCACCTAAACTTTTTATGAGGTTAATATTGTAAGTCTTAAATATTTAAAGCTTTATATGTTGAAATATTATATCTAAAACAACCATGAAAGTTGGAATCTCCATACATTTATCTGAGGAGAGTTTCATTTCTATTCTTCAACGTGTATTAAATGGAAATTGTGTACAAAACAGGAATTTCTCCACAGGTGTCCATAAAGCTTGCAAACCTAATTCAAAAAGTGTTTTATTTAAGATACAAAAGAAATGCACAGAATGAGGTTTCAAGAAAACATCTTTAATGGATCTTTTGTACCTCAGAATACATGAAAATACATTTAAGTTGACTTTAAGTATGGCAATATTTACACACATATAAACATGTATGTGGTGCATGTTGAATATATATAACAAATGTACACTATGTATAAGTTTGTGCATGTGCTTTGTATATATAGATATCTATATCTATATATATACTCTCATTTATATATGCACACATGCACAAATTTATATATACGTGCACACACATACACATTCACACGCGCACTACTACAATTCACAAAAGATTAAAGCAACGCATTGTATTTTTAATTGAATTTGCATTAAGAGAGACCTTGGAAAAGACCTATACAGTCCACAATTTTCTTTCAGAAATGTAGCATTGTGAGTATATTTAGAAGTCAGTCAATATCCAAAGTAAGTGTGCATTATCTACACTGCCACACTTCACTAATGGGTCTTATCATTTCTGTTGCTAATACTGTTCAGTGTAAAGACAGTCTTTCTGAGGTAGACTGTTCGAGTTCAAGGACAAGTCTTTTTTCTTTTTTTTCCTTTTTATATTTTTTTCTTTTTCCTTTTTTTACAAATGCATGACATTCAAAAAAGACATAAAATAAATACTACATGTACAATATGTAGCAATGAGGTAGAAATGGTTATAAAGAACAATGCTTGACTATAAAACAGATACATAAACATAATAAAACCATCCTTAGCAGTTTTGTACAAAAAAAAATTAAAATAAATTCAAGTGATTTTGTTGTGTCTACGATATGGGAAGGAATGGATGTGCTTACAACCTTGGTGTACTTCAGAAGTTTTTTAATAAATATTTAATATTCTAGAAACCGAATCAGTCTCTCACAGCTCTGTGGCAATGCTGACCCTTTGCTGTCTGCAACATACAGTACATATCTTTCCAACAGTTACATGATCTACTACTTGAATACTGCATCTTTTTTTGACAATGTTAAGATCTTGAGTTACTATCCTTAAAAATCCATGGGGATTTTAGTCCAAGCTATTGATCTTGCTAATGCAAGATACATTCTTTGTTTGCTAGAATGGTTATTTTGTCTTAAGTGGCTTTGAAGAAGTAGGCATGCTCAAAAGACAAACAGCACGTGACACATCCCTCCAAATTTAAGGTGAACTGAGAGAAAACTAAACAGTCATTATGTAAACTGTCACCCCATTCCATTGATCATTTCAGTTGTTAGCTTTTACATTTACACAATGAAAGTTTCAGACAAAGAAAAACTAGTCACCTATATATATATATTTGCAATTTGCACTCAGCATAAAGGGATTATTTTATCCATCAATCCATTTTCTAACTACTTTATCCAATACAGGGTTGTGGGGGAACCAGAGCCTATCCTGGTTTATTTTATAACAAATAATTATGTGAGTAAAAGACTCTTCATATTGTAACAGAAGGTTTACTTGATTTCCAGATGGCTAAGAGGATAATTAAAATAGAAATTAATATCAGATAAACCGCAGATTTTATGTTGCATTTAGTTAATTGTTCATTAGCTGACAACTAACTGCAGGGTATTTTCTAAGCAAGGTGATGAAGTTAATGTTTTAATAGCCTTTTCATGAAAGAGTAAGAAAACAAACAAAATATTCAATGCACTCATGGTGTCCATTTTTGTGTCAAGACTGTTATAATGTTAAAGGGTCTAAAATACCATCATGTCTCGTACTTTGTCTCTCATATGAATTTAGCAATATGTTCTGATTATAAAGCACATCAGTCTCAAATGAATTCAATGAAGCTTAAAGGCTAACTGAATACCAGCATATGGGTCAGCACATTGCAACAACAGTTATTGGAGACAGGACATTAAGGTAACAGAGATGTCACAGTAACTGGTTTTGGAAACAAAAGGTAAAAAAAAGTTTACCTTAAATTAGCCTAAAGCTGTCCATTTCCCATTTTAATACCAAATATTTTCTATATGTCAACATTACGTAGCTGGTCATATTTTTTTTAATCAGAATGATGTTACATGTTTATTTTGTGACACCACGACATCTCTATTAACTGAGTGATCAAAATGAAGGCAATGAAAACATTAAGGAAAAGACCTAACTTTAAGTCTGGAAAAAAAAACTCTCTCAGTGCACCTATTATATACTGTTCTTTCAGTATTTTGTGGCACTACCATACCACAATACTAGTGCTTAGCAACAGTTTTCATACTGTTTCAACAAAAAATAAAACAAAAATACATTCAAAAGCAAGGCTTTAGTTCTCATGCAGTTGCTGACTGTGTGACTTCTATGGCCTGCAATATTTCTGTTCAGCGACATTACCAAACGTCCATCAATGGTAATGAAAAGAGCTGCATGTAAAGCATTAAAAGATAAAAAGAAAGGCTCTATGAAAGAAGTGAGGAAAATGCCACACATGCCAGCTAATAGTCTTTCTTGAAGGAAGATTAGCCAAATGTGTGCCTGTGAAATATATATATGTAAGTGGCAATAAATGAGAGTAAAAGTGTGCCATGACTCTCTTATTGTTAAAATGCAGCTAAAAAGAAGGGATCTGCAAGTTAGCATACCAAAGAGCTTCTGACATCTAGCAATCCTCAAATATTCTGCTTTCAGAGAGAACTGTAATAAACTGAGGTAGAACAGAAAGCAGGGCATACATCATCCTTAGGCATCATTACACATATGATGAGCGACAGCAGCAGAATGGGATCACATACCTTAAAACTGCACTTTTTCTATTTTTGGAGAACTTTTTATCCTTTTTACCCACAAGATACATTTTCGGTAGGTATCAACTTGCTGCTGAACGCGTCTCTCAGTTTTGCAGATGTCTGACCTCAAATCCTCTCACTGCGCATGTGTAACAAATTGACCTAGGGGCTACACTAGTAGCTTCTGATATTAAAACATGTGCTAACACAGTAAATCTGTTATTTTTTCATGTTTTACGTTTGGTTGTAGTACTTCATTTTTCTCCCCTATACTTTACTCTTTCAAATATGCACTTCCCCATGTACTGTGGATGAAGGCAGTCAGTCATCAAACAAGTTATGCACAGTTACATAATATGAAGTTAAATAAAAATGTGGGCTTCTATTCTTCCCATCTCAAAAATTATTTTAATAAATTCTTCACTTAACACTTGCAAATCTCATATTATTGATTCTGTCCCATCACTCCAGAACACATCTGGATACATTCATAGTCATCTCCTTGCCATTTTTTTTTTCAGCTGTTGAGGTAAACATACATTTAGATAAAGTAAAATAGAAGCCTAGCCTAGAACTCTCAGCAGTACACAGTACACAGTACATAGTGCTTTCAACACATTCTTTTGAGGTACTGTACATGTCACAATCACTTTCCTGAGTTTTTGCAGACAGAACATCAAAAGAAATCAACTATAGAAATTAAGGTCCAATTTACCAATACCCTAAATTTGTCTGTTCCCAGGTGATACTGCAGAACAGATATGATTGAGGAATACTGTTGCTCTCATAATGGCAAAAATTGACTGTCTCCTATTACAACAGCTTATCTCTCTTTTTTAGTCCCATAATGTTTGAAGTTAAAGCTCTTTATATTAGCACATGCCACCAATGTAGATTGTGAGGCAAACAAAAAAATAAAGCACCACTTCAGGCACTTGATAGCAACTAAATCTCAAGAACAGCAGAATGATATAAACACACAGGGTTTGTGTCCTCTTGAAGTCAACCCACTTGCACCTTCGTAAGTGATGCCTGGCTTCAGCAGTATGTAGCATCAAAATAAGCCATCTGAATTTGTTTCTTGTAGGTTACCAGCTCTTGTTTAAAGTACACCACCTTCAAGTCTATTCTAATGCTTTAAGATGCTAAGGTCACTGTTGTCTGTACTTCCTTTCTTCCAGGTGTATCACTACTGCAAGAGAGTTTTTTTTTTTAAATCCCTCTTCAACAGGTTTGTTCTCCAGGGTTTTCTTGATTTTGTTTCATTGGCTACAACCAAACATTTTGTTCCATTCAGTGTACGTGTCAAGTTCTTTCTGTGATATACTAGGCTGAATTTTGCAAAAAACATTTTCAAAGTCTTGGTAAGTGACTGGCCTCAACTGGCTAGGCATAATGGCTGAAAGGTCAGTGCCCTGCATGGCATGGAGAGGCCCAACCACTGCTTCTTGACATAACCGAGCAACGTCAAGTCCAGAGAAGCCCTCTGTTCGCTGAACCAGCAGTGCAACCTCTTTGTCGTTGAGGCAATAGTTGTGCTGTGAGAGCAGCTGAATGATTATCTGGTGCCTTGCTGTGCTGTCCGGTAATGGGATAAGAAGTCGTTTCATGAAGTATCTTCTCACAGATTCATCTATTTCCTCAGGTTTACTTGTGGAACAGATGACCACAATTTGGTCCTCGGCAGAAGTTAGAACACTGTCCAGCTGCATGAGAAGCTCCGTTTTAATTCTGTTTACTGGGCTTTCCTCACTCAACTGCGATGAAAGTAGCATGTCAATCTCACTGATGAAAATGACAGAAGGCTGACGACATCGTGCTACAAGAAAAGAGGCGTGAACAATCTTCTCTCCTTCTCCTAGCCACTTTGTGACTAGGGCAGAGCCGCTGATCCGAAAAAAAGCAGCCCCCAGCTGACTGGCTATGCATCTACCCAATAACATTCTGCCTGTTCCCTGAGGTCCAAATAATAGAATGCTGCGAGGTAATGCAGTGAGTCCACTGAAAACATCTGGCCTCAGCATAGGCCATAAAACCTCCTCTTTTATTGTAGCTTTGGCCAGTTCAAGACCAGCAATGTCATTCCAGTCCACTGGAGGTCCCTGGTTGATGATCTCATTGGTCACAAGTTCAACGAGGTGTGGGTCGGTGTTCTTCAGCTGTTCTTCTGCAGGACGGGTGGATGAGGTAGCTGTACTAATTCCCGATCCTGGCATTGGGTGGGAAAGATGCTGTCTGTGCTCATCGCTATGCTCACTCATTACAGGAGAAGTGAATTTCCCAAATGATTCACTTGATCGTGAGCCTCCCAAGGAGCTTTTTGCAGAACTATAGGATGGAGGGGTTAGAGCCCTGCTAGACTGACTGCTAAATTTTCTTTGCTGATCTGAGGACATCAGCTGTTTTGTGGGCTTAAATGCTAAAGATGACGTCTCAGCATTTCTGTCAAAGCCATTCCCTCTGCTTGTGTTTGAAATGCTGTTGTCTGGCATTCTATACATAGGGCTTTGAGTCGAGCGCTGTTGGCTGTAGTTAAAATTTCCATAACTGGAGTCCATTTCTCCTTGCCCGGTCATATAGAAAGCTTTTCTTTTTAGAGAATTGGCTGAACTGCTGTTCAGAGGTGTGGGTGCAAGTGGTGCAAGGTTATGGGATTGATAGCTGTAGCCCGGTACAGTAGAAGGAGGGAGGGGTGTGGGGGCAGGGATACCCGATGGCAAATAAGCCGAAGGAGGAGGTGCCCCCCCAGGGCTATATCCAGGGGCAACAGCAGTCTGCGGAGGGTAACCAGCTGAGGGGTAATTGTAGCTTGAGAGGTTGGGAGACCCAGAATTGTAGCCTGGCACTAAAGTAGGGGGAGGGGGTGGGGGGGGTGGCTGCAAAAGCCCAGAGCTGTGCAAAGGAGATGGATGAGGTGAAGGAAGGGCAGGGGCTGACTGGCCACTGTAACTTGAATGCAGGTAAGAACCATTGTAACCTGTGGCGTATTCCTGAGACGGGAGTCCCGAGTGAAGACTGGCTACCGTGTGACTTCCACAATTGCTGTTGGAATAGCTGGGCTCCGTCAAATTGCTGGCCACCCCAGGAGAGCTGCCAATGCTGGCAGAGACATCTGCTGGAGGTAGGGTAGTTGTCACTCCAGCTTTGCTTGCAGAAATAACGTCTGGAACGCAGTTCATAGGATAAACGCCTTCAGAAGGCTGCCAGCCTTCACTTTCAGTCTTCCTTCCATTCAAAAGACCTGGGGCATCAGAGTAGGAACTTAGGAGCGCCCTTTCGCTTGGACCTTCTAAAATTCCAGAGTACTTCTCTGCATATTTTTTCAACAGGTTTGAGGCAGTCAGTGCAGAAATATCATCATTGGCCCAGGCATATTGATAGGTACGTTGTAAGTGGCCCCTGTATGCCTCTGCTTTGTGTGCTGGAGAGCGGGTGGTTGAGGTGATGTCAAAGTGCTGTTCTGCCCACTGTGCATGCTCTGGGGTCCACTGCATCTTTAAGCCTGAAATTTCAAGAAAGACAGTTTAATTTAATTACAATGAAGAATTACAATGTGGAAACAAGACAAAAATCAAGGACGGTTCCAAGCTAATCAGCATTGCCATAATGTACAGTATTAAAAATATCGGAATCGCATATACACAACAGGGGTACATCAATGTACAAATACAAGGGAAAAAAGGCTTCTGCCCTTTTCCTCTGCCCCTCACCATGACGGTTTTAGTTTTACTCCTCCGACCCTGCTTCTCCCCCACCCCACCCCCATATAATAAATATGAGACACAGCTGACAGATCACATCTAGGATACCTCTCTGATTTGGAGCCCAACACCTAGTTAGCACAGTATAATGCACCCTGCACAGAACAATATGACACAGACATTGCAGGTCACTCTATAATCCAACTCTCATCTAAAGCGGTCCAAGACAGTTTCAAATCTGCTTCGTGGAGTGCAGCAAAGCAATCTCCCAGGCAGCGCTCTGTCGCTTTCATCACACAAAACCTACAACTCGGCATGAATTACAACGGGCTCCTTTCTGCCCGCTAGTCCTGTAGCGGAGGCTCTGAGAAACAAGCGTCACTTGTCTTTCTGTGGTTTTTTCTCTTCTTCTTTTTATTTTAGCCTCCAGGGTACAAAAGGCACAATCCTTTTTAATCCCAAACTACTCCTACAAATACCGGTAGTTACATATGCTGTCATTTTGAGCTCAGCGTGCGATTATTAAAGTCGTATTCGGTACAATAACAGGGTGTAAAATGATGACAATGTTATTTTTTCTTTAAGCCACAAGTACACAACCAGAGTCCATGTAAGCTTAAGCTTTATATCTTTCCACCTCTTACTTGTTCATGGTGCACACTTTACTGACAATGGTGCAGCTGTATCAACAGGCACATTTAATCTCTATCATATTACCAAAAGTGATTTTTCACAAACAGTCCAGCGCCCTCTGGCATAGATTGTGTGATAAGAGGAAACCCAGATGAAATGAGGCATCTGTGACACAGGATGTCTGCTTTATTACTGCTATACCCCCCAACCCCCGCCCCCTCCCCCCTTTAGCATCTTATAGTCCAGTCAAGGAATCAAACGTGGCTGCCACAGGCTTCCTAAGTTACACAAATGCAACATACTGTTTGTTTGGTAACAGAGCGGCATGTCGATTCCCATCTGACACCCTCCCCGCCGCTTGCAAAACTGCTGCACCAGACACTGGAAGCTAATTAGCAGGATGATGCTGCGCTAATTGTGTTAATTTACAAGGTTTTAGTCAAAGAAAATCAAGCTAGGGCTGGCACTCCTGTCAGGCTTCCAAGCTAATGATTAAGAAATGCCTAAGACAAAGAGCAAAACATAGCTATAAATATACCAGCCACAAAAAAAAGTCTATCAATTAATAATACTGGAAATAAGCTCCTGGAAACAAATGACAGACTTTCTATTAGTGGTTATGACAGGTAGGTTTATTGTCTAAAAGAAGAAGAAAGAACAAAAATCACAGTTTTGATGTTGAAATAAAACATTTCACAAGAAGGGACCCTCTGAACAACGTTGTCTCTGCTGCAATGCTGTTCTTTACTTCTTTAAAATGCATCTGACAACAGATCCGAGGCATAAAAGTAATTAGATCAAATCAGCTGTCAGATCAATATGGCAGAATTCACTTTTTAACAATCTAAACATGGTAAAAAAAAATCTCTTCCTTCTCATATAATTAGCTTCTCTTAACCGTTGGTAATATCGCTTTGCAGCCTCTGTAGGCAATCCAGAACTTGATCATTTGTTACACACATTTAGAAGTTTCTTTCCATAATGCGAGAGGCAGAATTCTGTGTGCATGGTCTTTGTAACACTTACATACTGCAAACCTGCTAACTGCAACAACCACCCTCATTATTTAGGTGAAAGCAAAAAAATGAGAACATGAACTGAGGGTGAATAGAGTCACTACTATTTGCCGGATATTTAAAACAAAGTCTATATGTATCTGGAAACAGCATTAACAGCTATCTCTAAGAAAGTAGCTGAGAAATTCAAAAATGGGGAAAAACAAAAATTATAAAAACAAAAGAGACAAAATACTTTTAACAACCACTTGGGAGTTAGCGAAGTAAATTCAACACAAAAATGAGAAATTTCAAATGTGCTTCTTGGCATAAAAATGGCTATAAATCTACATGTTAAAATCAAGTGCCAAACAAATTTTATTAACATTACCACTCAAAACAGTTAAATCATATTCAAGGATTAAAGCTTATCATTTATCTTTCATTTATTTTTCATTGATTCATGATTATTATTAAGATGGAAATTTACCAATTGTGTTATAAGGAACTACTGTCTTTGTAATTGAATATGACAGGAGCCCTTTAATGAAAGAAAAAAAAAGAATGTCTCAATAAAATTAAATTTTAAGCATTAAATAATAAGACTATTTAAATCTGTAAATCCTATTTATAGTGGTACAATAAACAGGAACTGGAACACTTTTAAGTAACTGGAAAACATTTTAAATGGAAATATTTAAGTTTCACTACTTACAACCTAATTTCTGTATTACTGAAGAAATGGGAATTTTTTTTATATTTAACACAAAGACAAAGAATGTCTTTATACTGTACTTCTTAAAGAAATTGGCGCCAACATGGTTAAAGGTGACTCCAAGAAGCACACAGCTCTGGACTAATACATCCTAATTATTTAATTTAAACACTGCCAAATGATGATTCCTTTTAAATCACACTTTCACATCTCACGTCTGCAAATTACAATACATTTGTGGCAAATTACTTTTTTTTATTCCATCTCATCTGCATAAAGTGCCACTTTCAACAATCACAGAGGCGCTTCTGGCTAAGTGTACTTTAACAGGTACAGTTCAGATCCCTGAACATCAAATGCTTAATGAAATGGAAACAGAAGAAAAAAATTAAAATAAAGCATGAGTGACTCAAAAATCACTCAGCTGTGGACTGGGCTGTAGCTCCAGAGAAGCATTCTTTTCCATGTAGCTAAGAACAAGATGGGACACTTCATTTTGACCATTTCACAGGTGAAAAAAAAATTAGGAAGATGATAAAGTCCAGGTGGATGTACTGTATACAGTAATAAACGCTTAGGTTGCTCTGCTTTGTGTAAATACTGATCATAACTTTGACTTAAATAATGTGCACACATCTTTGTGTAACTAAATGAATAAGTATAACCGCCCTCTGAAATACATATACAAGAGGCTGCTAGCGAGAACTTATTTTAAAGCTAAAAAAATCCCTGGTTACTCCCTCCAGCAGCGAAATGTGGTCTATCATCTGCCTAAACTGCTTCTCTCCTTGTGTAAAAGAATCCACAAACTAACTCCTCATGTTGTGTTGGTCTTGCTCATGGGAGCAAAGTTCAGCTTTCAGCAGGAAAAAAAAAACTGAGGCATGTTGGCAGGGGGAAAGAGAGGGAGGGAGGGAGAGAAAGAGACAAAGAGAAGGAGAAGCCAGGATACAAGTGGGGGTTGGGGCAGAAGGAAAAAAAATGCATTCAGAGAAGCTGTCACCTCCCTCTGCACCAGTCAGCAGCAAGTCAGCCTTTTTTAAAAAAAGCCACAGAGAGTCCGAAATGAAGCGTGCTGTGTCTTAGCCTATGGAGGGCAAAAGACATCGTATTAACATATACCTCAAAATACCCCAAGAGAAATTTGTAACAATAAGGTGCACAGAATTGTAAAATGTAAACATCATTAACTTACACATATAATGTTGATAAATGAATTGATTTTATTCATGAAAAAAAGTTGAGCTTCTTTTTAACTACGACTTGTATAATTAGCGAGTTTTCCCATTAGTGAAATATGTTCTCAATGGCTCTAGGGCATTAGCTCAAATTCCACTGATTACAAACAAAGAGGGACAGAAAAATGGAGATCTTTGTACAATTTAACAGTGTCTACTGGTCAAGCTTTGTACACAATACCAAAACATTAAGCAATTTAAAGAATAATAAGACCTATTTTATATAATAAATTGAACTGACTGCTAATGTTATTGAAATTGGAACATAAGATTTTAGCTTTTAAAACTCACTTTCACTAACTACAGTTTATGATAATGCAAATAATCATAGAAACAATTGTCTTTTGCTTTACAGTTCTTTAAGAAAATTTAAACCACTGCCATGTAGTTCTGATTAATAATATTTAAATTCATGCATGCTACTTAACCTTAACGCTCTCCTCGTAAGAAACAAAAAGGCACCATTACAGACGGCACAACATGATGAAGACGGTTAATTCAGCCGTCACAGGTTTAAATTTTAAGCAACAAGATTTGCAAAAGCACTGTCATTGACATATTCTTAGTTATTCTCACATCAAAAGCATACATTAGAATGGGCTTTTACTGATGCTACTTCCACCACATTGTTTTAGTCATTACACCTGTCCAATATAAAGATGTCAAGCAGTATTTAAAAAAAAAATGAAATGAAAAGAATAGCTGCAGAAGCAAAGTAGCAGAGCTTATTTAAGTACAATATTAGCTGTCATGTCATATCAGCAACTCCTATTAGGAAAACAATAAAATAAAGCTATTTCATTATAACCCACATCTATTTATTGCTTTTTAAATTAGATTAGCCTTTTTTAATTGGCTCTTATAATAGCAAATCTATCTATTAGCAGACGGCTGCTTCATATTCAGATCTTTCAATGACGTCTACAGTGCATTTAACTGTAATGTGTGCAAATAACGCGAGAGTCTTGTAAAGAAACATTAAGAAAATTGACAGTGCATCTATTAGTTCACACAATCATATGTATCATCCGAACATGATAAAGATGCAAATTAAAAAGTTTAATTAAATATTATATCTAATTACAGAGAACATGGTGAAACACCTGTTTTATCAGGTTTGTGCTATCTTACATATTTTTTAATTTTTTAATAATGAAAAATATTTTTTTCAGAAAGTTTTCTGTTCGAATGTCAAAATGTGCGATGTGTGATGCATCAAC